CGGCCCTCCTTTGGACACTCTCTATGAGCTTAATGTCTTTTCTAGATTGTGGTGCCCAAAACAGCACACAGTACTCAATGTGAGGCCGCACCAGTGCAGAGTAAAGTGGGACAAAGACATATTTATGGTTGACAAATGTCTAAAGTCTTTGTGATTTCCTGAGTAGTTTACTACACTAGCTTCTGACACTCCTTCTTTCTTTATAGGATGTAATGCAATTCAGCTCTGATTACTAGATCCAGTTTTGTCACCCTGACTTTCTTCAAGTGGTACTTGGGGTTGTAGCGCCCAACTTACTTCACCAAGTGGAGGCATAAATTGCCTGAGCACCTGTTTCACTTGCAGTTCTTGAGTCCAAACATCTACAATTATTGCTGGCTATTGCTTTGAGAAAGGTGGGGGTTGTTCTAGCAATGGCCTGCTGCCTAGAGATGTGGCTTGCTCTATCATGTGAAGTGATGGTTTGCCTTCCCGCTAACTGGTAGCTCTCCATGGTCCTTCAGTCTCTTCCATCACTTCATCTGTTACACACAAGTTCATGTGTTTTTGCTAATCAGAGCTGGTGATCTGAACAGCTGGCTCTCTCTCTAGTATATAAACAGATTTCAAGCCTAAATAATGTTTTGATTACTTCCCTTAAACTGTTTTAACGCAGATGAAGAAAAACAAGTACCAACAGTGAGACTCACTTCAGTTCCTCTCTCGTACTGCGTTCATGGCAGACTAAGCCTTTGATTCTCAGAAAGGTACCTACATGCCAACTGTTCAGTAAACATCTAGTCTGATAGTCTTCATGTTGGGTTATCACTAACTTAAGCTTGAATTACAGCTCCATGCACCCCCCAGCCTAGCAACACGCCTATTTGTGAAGACCAGGGTAGCTACAGAATTGGGCAACAAGTGATGCTTTACTCAGATCACTCATGTCCAAGTAACTGAATATCTGCGTGAGAGACATCTGAAGTCTAATATACAGGGCAGCTATTAAAAAAAAAAACCAACAACAATAAAAGTCCAGTATTCTACATTTACACCAAACAAAGCATGGAAAAATGGCATGTACACAGCTCTTCAAACCAGACTGCAAGCTACTATGAATCTCATGTCCAGTGTCCCATATAAAATCCTAGGCAGCTTACCCCCCTTTCACTAAAAAGTATGCTTTGCCTTTTTGGTAAGGTAAGAGCAAGCACAAAGGCAGCAGCTGAAGAGCTGTGCATCTATAGTCAGTGTGTTGGCAAAAGTATCTCCCCTACAGACTAAACTAGAGCAGCAAAAGCCAAAGTATAGTTTAAATTTCAAAATGGAATTACATACAGAAATTGCATTACTGAAAAATTTGTCTTTAAAACAGTATCATTATCTGAACATCAGTTTCACAGTGAAAGAGAAGATGGACAATTGCGATATGGCTTCAACTTCCAGCTCTGCTACAGATTCCTCATGTGAGCTTAAACAAAACATAAATGTTTTGCTGTTCTCCATTTTAGAAACCAGGAGCAGCAAATACCTCTTTGCTTCCTCTCCTGCCATCTGCCTTTTTTGTTTACACTGTGGTGCTAAGAAGACACACAGACATGACTTAGTCAAAACACAGTTACTCCTGTTCATTTCAACAGGAGTTCCTCACGATCCTGGGCACTCAGTTACCTCTCTCTTCTTAGTGTCTACAAAAGAATTAAGCTAAAGTTTAATTAAAATAAAGGGTTTTTTTCACTCATACCAGGAATCAAATTTCTGTTCTGTGAGGCAGAAAGGCCTAGTATGGTATCTTCAAAAAAAAAAGAAGTTTTAAAATCCCTAAATTACTCCTATTTGAAATGATGACACAGATCACTGCCGAGTCATGATTTCTTAGAAAAAATACATCTTCCATTTTGTCTGTCATTTATTTCAATATTACTTATAGTAATCAATATTTATCAGATGTTTCTCATATAAGAGAGAGTGATAAAATTCCGGACACCTGTGTGCCTGAAAATAATGAGCAAGGAAAAAAAGTAGCAGCTAAACATAACATGGGAAGATTTGGCAGACCAGTTTGTCCCAAATCAAATACTAAGTACTGTATTAATACACAAAGGCAGTAACTTGCTTTACTTTCAGACACAGTCATCCAGGATCTCATTGCTGAAAAATCAGCAGCCCTATGTGACCAAGCACCAAAAATGTTAAAATCGAACATAATTGCACAGATGTTGAATACCAAGGCAATGTATACACAACTGTTACAAAACAACACAGACAATACTTAATATAGGTCTAGAATGGCCACTGCACTCATTTTCAAGTGACACTGAATATCAAAGAGCAAGACACAAACTGTAGTAATGAGTTTGCATTTTTATACTGTCTTTCAGGCATGGTCATACCTAATTTTGTCAGCAGCAGTTGAAGGAGTCAGTAGTTGCACTCTCCCTTTTAATCTGCTCCCACTCTCTTCATCGTGACTCTGTTCACCTCAGGGTCTTAACACAGATTACTTGCTTTCACCCAATACTAAGAATACACTTATTTAAAGGGCCAAAGAAGGACCAAGGATCCAACTATTTAGTGAACAGAAATGGAAGCATCTGAAGAGGTTCAACCACGGAGATGGTAATTTCTGGCAATAAAGTAGAAACAAAATATGGGAATGTGTAGCTTCAGACTGGATCTGCTGGTGATAAAAGAATAAAGTGTAACTGTAGCCTTAACCTTTACAGAGCCTTGTACACTTTACCATCTACTAAAAAACCCTACATTAAATTTAATTTGTAAGTACAGATTTCCTTCTCAACAGTAAAGTTTAGCATCATCCAGTTTAACACGGGTATCCACAGGTTCTTAAAACCACTAGAACACCATCTGTGATTTCAGAATAGCAGGATAAGTACTTAAGGTAGGTTTCAGCTTATTCAACTAGACTGTCAGAAGTAACAATTTAGAAACCATCTAAATGTATGAACATTAGAGTCCTGAAAAAAATCAGTAAAAGCAAGAATAGCTCTCTAGAGATCCAAAAAGGATGTCTACAAAAATGAAGGCAGGGCAGAAATAAGCAGAACAAGACTGTGCTGACGTGCTTGTTCCTAGTTTACTGGATAACGTTTGTCACAGAGCAATGTTAATTTAGATATTACTTGTAGGGTGAATTGTAAGAGAAAAGAATACTTTAAAGTTTCTTTCAATTAAAAGATAAATGTTACTGACCAAAGATCAGAATCACCACAGAATTACCTGTGGTAGAATCACTAAGCAGGAAACAGTGGCTTGACAACAGAAAGCTAGGATAGGTAACTGCCATCTTAACTTTGGGGGAAAAACAGGAAAATTCCACACCTAGTAATTTCCTTTCTTACAAGTCTATCCATAACTTATCAAAAACAACTCGATAAATCGGGGGGGGGGGGTTGTTGTTTTTTTAACAGAAAAATATGCAATGGTACATACTTTGCTTCAATTGCTTAAGTGGATAGCAATGTACCAGTCCTTTACACTATATAAAATAAAATCCACTGGACTGACAGACTTGGTGAAAGGCATGAGTTCAACCAGATTCTGATGAGCAGGAATTCTGCAGCTGATACATGGAAAGGTAAGGTACCATTAAGGTCCCTGAGAAATGACTGAATCCACATTTAAACAGGAAACTCAAACTAGTCATGCACTTCTCTACGAGGTTCATCACCATGAAATGCCCTGTTCAATGACCCTCCTAAAGACTGTGGAATTCAGCCAGACAAAACTTTTCAGTAAACAACAGCTTCATGAAGCATATAAAGGATTTCAAAGCTAAATCTTTATCCTTCTTTGACAACCTTATCATTGTTTGATGAGCCTTCTATAGTGGTAGCCTTTCCTTGCTCACAATTAAGAAGTGTCAAAAGTTTTCCTTGGTTGAGATTAGTCTGGATTGACCATCAGCTTTTACGGTGCTAGGAGGAACAGGTTTGATCAGTGTTGAACATTTTAAAAGAAACCCTCTGCAACTACCCTTCTAAAATCTCCTTACTTTTTTAAAAGATTAAGTAACTAGTAATTAGATTATGAGATGTTAGCAGAGGTGTTAAATATTCCTACTCACAGCAAGTAGACAAAGCCTGCATTTTCCTTGCAATGCTCTTTACTTTAAAACACATTAAAAAAATTCTGTGCTACGCTACGAGTCTGAGATTACCTGGTGTTATACACTTGAGTTCTCAATATTTTAGAGGTTCATTAGGCCTTCAAATTCATTCCTACATTATTGTAGGATGTCAGAGCATTCTTAACTCTCCTCCTGTTTTGAACAGGTATCATGTTTAGATGACCTATTCTCATATCTCATCATGGTTAGGCTTTGCGAACGAAGATTTAGGAAGGGCTCTACCCACATTTGTATATACTATACTGAATAATTTGGAAAGGTTTGGTTTTCTTCATGTCATTGTCATCTTCACTGTGTTACCAGTCACTGGAACAGGCTCCCCAGGGAAGTGGTCATGGCACTGAGCCTGTCACAGTTCAAGGAGCATCTGGACAATGCTCTTTGGTCATACGGTTTAGTTTTAGAAGGGAAGAAGCAGGGAGTTAGACTCAATGATCCTTATCAGTCCCTTCCAACTTGAGATATTCTATGATTCTATGATCTATTTTGCACTTACAAAGAAAGCTAAATCCATCCAGACAGCCATTAAACAGAAGCAATCCCATACAGAAAAGGGTGCAACATATTAGCATAAACAATGATGAGAAAACACTACTGTCAATGTCTTTAAACCATGTCTGTTCAAGAAGAATGCTCTTTAAAATGAGCACCTTTTAGGTAAAGGAACAAACAGGAACACTAGAGAACAAACTATTTCCAGGCATGATCATTAGGGGAAGAAATCACCCTCCAAAAATACCTGTATTAAATCAGTTACTGATTCACAGTCAAATATGTTCTTTTAAAAGTGTCTGGGGTTTTTTTCCTCTCAGATAGTACAAGAGCACTCAGACTGCAAGGACAAGTTATGCAAAATCACAGACTACAATATATTGTAACACAGTATTATCTTTATTTCAAAATCGTACAAAGTGTAAACATAAAAGAGATAATTACACTGAAGTAAACCCTGCTCTTTAAGTATCTGAATACTTTAGCAACGATACCATCATCAGAAGAATGCCTTTATTACTTCTCAGTAGGAAACTTTATCTTATGGAGCGATACATCATGAAATCAATTGTTGTACATCGAGGGAATTTACCAATGGAGCTCTCTTCCACCGGGGTGTACACTTTGATTTGTCTCATGTGAGTGTCCCTCCCATTCTGGTGATTAGCTAGAACAGCAATCTGAATCATGAACGTGCGAATTGGCTTCTTGTGAGTGTCTGTCAGAGGAACGTGAATCCAGCCGCTCGGTTCCACTAGTTCAAGTTGCTGCCAAAAACAAGACAGAAAAGCAAAACATTCAGAACCAGTTAACATACTTACTATAAATGATCACATCTTAAACCCGTTTCATAAAGCAGAGTCTTGCAAATCAGATTTTAGTTGCTTTTTCAAGTTAATTTGAAATAGTACAGTTGAAAACTCATAGCTAATTTACTGCTCATGTAATTGGATACAAATTAATCTGGTTGACTGCAGTTGTGGTTGCTTTTGCCTTTCAGAATCTACTCTTCATTTTGTGCCCTAATCTTAAAACAAAAATCAATATAAAAAAATACAGACTTCAGAATAAATTCAAGAAAGTCAAAGCAAGGATCCTGTTACTGAAGCACATTGCCCAAAGATGACAGAAAACATGCATCCTAATTTGTTTTATCTAGGCATTCTGGACTAAAATATGCTAGAATGACTTATGTAGGAAACTAAATGCACACAAAGGCTGGGTTTTCAGAAATTCCTTAGATTATTAGGAGGACTGAAGAGGAGGAAAAGGAAGGTGACAGAGGAAAAAATACAAGATACCTCATAAACTTCATGCCACCCATGTGTCAAGACAGATGCCTGGTCAATTAATACTTGCTGCACAGCCAAATGGACAAATCACATTCTAATCACATTTTGACTTGGCTTTTATGCAACATACCCAGTCTGATATGATTATTTTTTCTTTTTTAATTTTAATCCTACACAAACCAATGAAAAAGCAAGCAAAGAATAGCATTTTGTTAACTCTAAACCACATCACTGGCACGTCAGATTGCTGAAATCAAGCTGGATGCTATGCAGAAGCGTGGTAAAAGCTTTTGTTTAAAACTAGTTGCCCAACTTCAAAGCACAGTTCAAAACACATATGGGAAGAGCACACAAGGAAGCGGAAGTCTTGGGGGGGAAGAAAAACAAGACACAAAACAATTGTCCACAAGCAAGTGGATTTCACACAGCTAAGCAAATAAGACTGCTGTTCTTAGCAGCAGAGTTCCTCTAAGGAAGATGTATGTGCTTTGAGCAGCTCAAAATTCCCATCTTTCTCCTGCAAATACTGCATGACACACATCCTGTTAAATGCCTTGTTTATGCTGAAGCTTTCAAAAGAGCTACTGGTTCAGAGGCAGTAAACACCTTGAGAATGACCCAAGAAACCAGTAAAAAAAAAACCCTGATGACTACTTTAAGCTTAAAGAAACAAATGAAAAAAATCTCTCACACCTCCACCTTAAAAAAAAGAAAGGAAAAAACCCACCAGAAAACAAAAAACCGCAACCCAAACCTCTCCATTGCTGCAGACTCTCCAACAAATAATTTCCAAAGTATTAAATTCACTAAGCCTTAGTAGCAAATCATTTCCCTCCGGGAGCTAGACACTTCCACAAACACACAGTCACTTATTTGTTGTAACCTGTCCCTTTCAAAAAATCTACAAAACCATTTTTTTTTTTTTTGCATAGGAAACTTCAGGTAACGGCTGACTCTACAAAGTGATAAAATAATGATGTACTGTTGAAGCAGCTTTACAAAGGGCAGATTTATCATGGTGAGGTAGCAGTAAACAGCCTGAGCAAGTATGCTTTCCATCTCCACAGCAAACAGGAAGGATGAGGATCCTACTAATATTTTATTCAACTAGTACTAAGGTTAAGTGTCTGACTTAGAAGAGAATGAAAAGGTTATTGCTAATTAAACTTGCATTTTTATATTATTCTCAGAGTTTAAAAATTTTGACTGCTAATTCAAAGTGGAAAAGTTGAGTTCCAGAGCTATGATCTTGGGATTTTTATGCTTGGATCAGTATGAAATAGATTTTTAATACAGTATAAAAAAGTGAAACTTTCTATAGGTTGACAACATTGGTTTCAGACAGATCCAATATAATCTGGGTTTTCATGGCCTATTGGGAAAGAAATTGCAAAAGTGAAATAATGATTCCCCCACTCCAGAACCAAGACAACTACCAAGGGATTGGCAAAATTAGGCTATTTATACAAAATTAAATTGAATCCTTAATAAATTCACAGAGAAAAATCACATCTTTTATTTTAAAAGAATTATTAGGCTCGGAAAGGGAAGCATTGGAAAGTTAAAAGTTGCAAAGGTAATTTCACTAATGTAAAAATATGCTTGTATCTTATTACATAAATTTTTTATTACATGTTTATCAATGCTTTATTTCATCCCCAATCAAGGGAGGGGGTTATATGCTCTATTTATAGTGTGTTATTTTCCAGTTCTGCTACAAAGGCAACCAATTTCTTTCTGAGCCTGTCTACAGAGATGGGTCAAGTAATTTCTTCACCTGCAAAACTGGCAACGGAGGCATCAGGTTAATTAGATTAAAAGGTTCTCTGGCTCCAGACTGAGCTGGTTTTTTACTGTCCTCAGTAAAAGACAGGATTTTACAGGAGGTTTAGCTTCCACTGAGTTCACTTGCAGTTCTAAGTGTCTGCATTTCCACAAACTGACATGAGTTCTCAAACCAGCCACTAGAACACACAGTATGAGCAGTAACCTAGGAACAGTTATTTGAGTGCATCATGTAGAAACACCACAACTAAGCACAGATGGCACACAATTCATCAAGCAGCATTTAATTGTCTTAGCCACAAAGCCTTTTTTTCCCCCCTCCAAAATCTTGACTTCACTTACTCCACATTTTTCAACTTCTGTAACAGATGAATATACATACTTTACTGTACAAATCCTGGACTCATCCTCAGAATAAGCCCCTTTACCCAGTCAAATAGCTGCCTGTTGGACAAAGCATGTGACACTTGTGAGGAAGTTGGAGGTTGCACTACAATGTAGTAAATGCAAGAGGTCAGAGTTAGACTTATATGTTTGAAAAAATGAGCTCTTGATTTCTGCCCTCTGAGTAACATTCCTGCCCTGTGACATTTGAGTATTTTTTTAAGTTGATGCCCATATAGTTTGTTAAAACCTTGATACCCACTCAACATTTAAACTGAAGCTTAAATGCAACAAAACCTAGCTACTGTTATCTTGAATATCCAGTAGAAAAGGAAGTAATATTTTGCCAGTATGATACACACATTTTCTGTGACCAAAAGAATGGTATAAACCACACACACACACAGGGTCCTAAATTCTTCTCCTCTGCATCTGTCATGCTCTTCCAGATGAATGAGACAGTTTCTTTTCCAGAGGGCCCAGGTCCACCACCAGGGAAAAGGAACAGGACATGGGAATAGGCAGTGGTGATACAAGACACAATGCTGCCCACTCTCAGTTCAGTGTCAGCACCCAGATCCAGCTGTTACAATTCCTAGCAGAAGTGGGATGAAATACGCAGTTCTACCCTGCCTGGAGCATTCCCAGTGTGAACAAAATCTAAAGGAAGCTTACTGTGAAGTTTTAAGAAATTCCTATTAAGCCCAAGCAAATGGCAATCTTTCAAAGCCTTGTAAACCGGTCTGGAAATTTGGGTGGATTTTTACAGGGAGGCAAAAGGCACATCCTCAACACAAAGGCTGAACTATTGCCAAATTTCAAATCCTTGCTTCAGAGCTTGGGGGCACTGGAGCATCAAAGAAGGACACCAGAATATTCTCACACAAGCAAAATAGCATACTTTTCACTGGCCTTATTCTTGGAACAGAATTGCTTTGGCTGAAACTTTCCAAAAGTTCAGCCCAAAGCAGATATCTGGCATGGAAAAATCTGTTTGAACTGCAGTTTGGCAAAAGTTAGAAAGTAACTAAGAGTTAAGCCTTGAAATGTAAAGGGTCACACAACCTTAAGTACAGGTGGCACTAGCAGCTCTACCTATAGTAAATACTATACCTGAAATCCATTTCAGTGGACTTTGCTGTCAAGCTTGTTGTTTTAAAGTATAATATGTATATAAATGTACACACACACACGTTTCACCCCAGCTCTACAGCATCAGTCCACTATGAGCAAATATCAGATTAAGTTTCCTCCAATATTTTTTCCTTCTTGGTAGGTCATTTAAGTAATTAGGAATCAGTCACAATTAACTCTCTTCCAGGAAAAGTTGTAAAAATCAGCTATATTACTAATTACCTGAGTGAAATTAAAAATTGGAAGTTTCTTTCTGTTATGTGTTTCACCAGAAAAGTTTTTCTTTAAAAAAGGGAAACAAAGGAATGAATCAATGCAAGTTCAGTATTAGTAACTCAGAACAGTTCCTGCAGGCTCTAGACTAATCTTACATACAATGTACAAAAAGCCCAGGGTTTGTGGGTTTCTTTAATTTGCTTCTAATACTATAAATTTTGTGACAATTGGTAAACAAGAAGAGCATGAAAGTCAAAATAAAAGAACAAAGGGATAAAAATTGAAATGGAAAAATCACTCACTTGTCCTCTGCTGCTGTTATACTCTAGCTCTTCTCCTGCTTGCTCTCCGTTGGTTTCTTATTTTTCCTGTCCTCTGCATGCTACAGTTTTACCTATGGATATATACTCCCAACTCCACCAATCCTTGTTATTTTGAAAGCTGAAGAAAAATTGATGTCCTCAATGGAAATCTCCTCCCCAGCCTGAATACAAGAGATTTTAAGAGGAAGGTTCTTCTGCAATTGCTGGCCTCTTTATAGGGTAGCAAGTTATTTATCCAAAGAACGCTTTTTTTATTGTACTTAATCCTACTTAAATTGAATACTGACCTTTTCTCGATACACAGTGATATTCTGCTTAAATTCTGTCATGTCTTCAAAATGGCACATAACTCTAAATGCTACTTCTACTAGGCTTATAAACACAACCCCAAGTTTTTTGCTATATTTACAGCAGGCTAACATTCTTGAAATAATGAATGATTTTTGCTGCCCTGTGAAGACATCTTTTGTGAAGATACAGAAAGGAAAAAAAAAACCACTGTAAGTAGTTTCATTTCCAGAGTAATTACAAACACATCCCAGATGTATGCTAGACAGGGCTCCCAGATTTCAGGAGAATATATATATATATATACATACACATATATATGAGGAGAAAGCTGCCTGCTTGTTT